TACTGATTTGCGAACGGAAGTCGATGAGATACTAGCAGAGAGAAGCCTGATGGCTCCTGCACACTGGACGCGGAAACGCTTACCGCGCGGCAAAATGCGACGCGGTAACCAATCAATTGCCCGCTTCTCCAGAAAAGCATATATATATATATATATATATATCTTCTGCCGCGCGGAAAATATGCTACCAGGAAGTAAGATATAAGGAGACTCCACTCCGTAAAATAAAAGTGGACCCATTTTAGGTTTCGAGTTCAGCTTCCGATTCTGATGAGTGCAAGTAAGAGAAATGATCATTTCTCTTACTCGCACTCATTATGCGCAGCACTACTAAATTCACGAGCGCTGCGAGTGTCGAGAATCGGAAACGGAACTCGAAACCTAAAATGGGTTCATGTCTTGTAGACTGGCGAGACCGAGTGGAGTCTCCTTATATCTTCCTTCATGTATGCTACTTTTGCCGCGCGGCAATCATTTTGGCCAATAGAATCGGAAACAAGGGTACATGATCGAACAGAAAAATCGGCAAGCGTCCTCGGTAAAAATCATAACCTGAATCTGTTTTCCAATCATCCAAGAAAAAACAGTAAAGCATTCTTAAATATAAGAAGGTTCAGTTCTGAGTCGTTCACCTAACGTACTGCTCCACTGTTACGTAAAGCATTCTTAAATATAAGAATTAATTAAATAATGGCTTATGTGATCTATTTATAATTATATATATTATTTTAGCTTCTATTTTTCCACCGATCACTCTTTGTATTTCGATCAATATATAAGGCTAAGATGAGTGAAGAAAGGCGTCGAGTGTTACTTTTAGCCTTATTACATATAAGAAATCAAAGAAAAAGGAAAAATGTAAAAAAAAAACGAAATTATTGGGTACATCCAATACTCCAACGTAAACAACAGCAAGGGCATTGGCATAATTTAATTCGTGAAATGATTCTGCAGAATGATGAGACATATTTTAATTATATGAGGATGACACTGGATATGTTTGAATATATTTGTTATCAAAAGTAGGACCTTTGATAACAAAAATGGAAACAAATTTGAGAAAACCTATTCCACCAGATACGAGACTACCAATGACTATACGGTATGAAAATTTATAATTACTTGTAGTAGGAGTGTTTTTTTCTTTTATAAGTATTCAAAATTATTTTCAAACTGAATAAACAAATTAATTTTTCGACTAATTATTAAATTGTTAATCAATTTAATTCGTGATAGTACTGCAGTAGTTTATTAGAGTTGTGTTTCAAGACCGACAATCGTTCAACGCGCAGTTTAGAAAGATATATATCGGTACATAAATTTACGCGAAATTATATATATAAGCAATTAAATTCCAGCTAGACTGTTATAGGCTTCGATTCGTATTAGTTATATTGTTACATTAACGTTGTTACATTACTTTAAAAAATTTTTAATTAATTTTTATTTTTAGTTATTTGGCAAGTGGAGATGGACTTCATAGTATTTCACTTAATTATCGAATTGGAAGAAGTACTGCGACACTTATAATAAGAGAAACTTGCGAAGCTATATGGGATTGTCTTTCCCCAGAAATATTATTTACACCATCTGAGAATGGATGGCGGAAAATAGCCCTTGAATTTGAAAAAAGATGGAACTTTCCAAATTGTATTGGTGCTATAGACGGGAAGCATGTTGCTATAATAGTAAGATATTATATTAAAAGCAAGTATATGAAATTGTAATAACAAAATTAATTAATATTAAAATTATTTCCAGTGTCCTAAAAAAGCAGGAAGCACGTATTATAATTACAAACAATTTCACAGCATAGTTATATTAGCACTTGTAAGTGCCACATACAAATTTTTAATCGTCGATATTGGTGCTCAAGGTCGCCATAGTGATGGAGGAATCTTTAAAAATTCTGCTATGGGACAACGATTTTACAACAACGATATGTATTTGCCCGCTCCTTCTGCTATTAGTGCTAGACATCAAGTTCCATATGTTATTGTAGCTGATAAAGCACTCCAATTAAATTCATTTACCATGCGACCATATCCATCGAAAAATTTAACGTTTTCTCAACGAATTTTTAATTATCGATTAAGTAGTGTCAGAAAATACATTTGCAATATGGGTCAATCGATGGCGTATTTTGCAGAGACCTTTAAGTACTTCTCTTGAAACAAGTGACGCAATAATTAAAGCAACCGTCTGTTTACATGCATAATTTATTAATGAATACTTCGTATTATTGCGGAGACAATTATGACGATAAGGTATCTGCAAATGGCCAAATAATGGAAGGAGAATGGAGATCAACATATAGAAACACAGATAATTATAGCAATATTAGTCATTGCAGTAATAATTATAGTAAACATGCTGGTGAAATTAGAAATACCTTTATGGATTATTTTATGAACGAAGGTAAAGTACCCTGGCAAGAGCAAAGTATACAAAGAAATTTATTGTAAAAATTTATATTTTTCTTTGTATATAAAAAATTGACATTAAGATTAGGTTAAGATTACATTTAGATTAACAAAAAGAAATAGAAAATTAGGTAAAATACGAGTAATAATTTTTCTCAGTTCTTATATTAAAACTAGTTCATTATTAAACGAAAGAGTTAACACTAGTTTTCATTAGTTAAACAAGTGATTAGTAATAGAAACTTAATTTATTCTTTTTCAGCTATAAACATTTTGAACATACATGAAAAACAGAAAATATATTTACTTTATTTTGTGATACATTTGTATAATTATACTTTGTTATGTATCTTGTTATATTAACGCTAGATATTAAGTACAAAACAGCTTATGCATGATAGTGTAAACATATTGCACAACATAACTTATTCATTACATGATACTTAACAAATACATGCACATATAAGCTAAAGAAACTATAAAACTTAAAAGGAATTATAAAATTTAAAACAGAAACAATAGCACATAAAATGAGTTATGGAATATTGTAAAAGGTGGTGGCTTCTCTTTGACTACTTTTAAAATTTTTTTTAATTATTTCAAGATATTTGCCACATAACAAATTATCACCTTTTATACGATATTAAATTTATTTTAAATATCTGCCTCTGCAATAAGTTTCAATATTTGTTTCGTAATATGTTTGGAATTATCTGTAGTCATATTTCGAAGACATGCTTCAAGATACTTAGTAAAAGATTCGATTTCATCAGGCTTAGATTGATTTGTTGGTCTCGTTCGTTCTAATTCTTTTAAAATAGTTTTTTCACAATAAGAATTCGTATCTTCTTTTTCAACTGTTGTTACTTTTCCTGTAAAAAGAGAAAATAAAAATATTTTTTATTATAAATGTTACATTTAATATAAAATAAATGTTTCTTATTTATATCAACAAATACATTTCAGACAGAGGCAAGTGAAATAATACCCTTACAACAGATTCTACACTGTATGTTTCAAAAAATTTTTACAATTTCTTATAAAATAAAAATATATTTTGTATATACGTACGATGTTTCCTTCTATTCGTTGACTGTAAAGCGGGGAGCACAGACTTTTGCATAATGCATAAACCATATACATAAAGAATTTGATTGGTCCATTGACTCATGCATTAGAAAATGGACCAATGAAATTCCTTATGCATAACGCATAAACCATATATATAAAGAATTTGATTGGTCCATTGACTCATGCATAAGAAAATGGACCAATGAAATTCCTTATGCACATGCTTTATGCGTTATGCAAAAGTCTGTGCTCCCCGCTTAAGTCAGAGTCAGAATTGTCTGTATCTCTGGCAACACTGGCAGTCACTACTACGACAGCTACGTTTTTCTCTGCCTATTATGCCGATTCTACATTAGTTGCAAGTCGATCGCAAGTTTGTTGCGACAGCCAATCTGAAGCGTTGATTTCAAAATCCAAGCTTGAGATTGGCTGTCGCAACGAACTTGCGATCGGCTTGCAACTAATGTAGAACCGGCTTTAAGCGGGGAGCACAGACTTTTGCATAACGCATAAACCATATACATAAAGAATTTGATTGGTCCATTGACTCATGCATAAGAAAATGGGCCAATGAAATTCCTTATGCACATGCTTTATGCGTTATGCAAAAGTCTGTGCTCCCCGCTTCATTACCTTACGTTACGACTACGCATGTTACGTCTCGTTCTCTGCCATATTGCTGCACCAGTGCAACACTCAGACAGTAAGTCTGTTCTTTATTGCTGAACTTTTGCACTACTTCATCTATCTTCCTTTTCTCTCCAAGAGAAAGGAAAAGGAAAAAAGATGAACTGATGCAATCACCCTACACTGGTGCAGTCAAGAGAAAACGCTATAGGCATTAAGGAGCCTACAGACCAGGGGTTCTATTCCTGAAAAGAAACTTATATGAAAAACTAGGAAAATACTATAGTATACGTAACGTATACTGTAGTATTTCCCTAAACTTTCGTATACGTTTCTTTTCAAGAATAGACCCCCAGAGCGGCGCAGCGGTGAAGCGGCGAGCGATAGCCAATGAGAGCCATGCTTTTGCGTAAAAGCATGGCTCTCATTGGCTATCGCTCGCCGCTTCACCGCTGCGCCGCTTTACCGCTGCGCCGCTCTGAGTATCGATCATGAAACTTTTTCTCTGGAATGAAAAGTGAAAAGTGAAAATTTTTATCATTGAAGTTAATGGAGAAATTTTTCACTTTTCACTTTTCATCCTAGGGAAAAAGTTTCTTGATCGCTGCCCTGGTCTGTAGGCTCCTTTAGTCCGTTTCACGATATATTTCGCGATTTTCATGTCTGATATCGTTTATCGTTTATGGTTTAGATTCCTATATAGATCACTTGAATTGTTCACACAATCTAAAAATACATTTTTTTTTCATAACAAGAACAAATGCAATCTAGTTAAGACGTAAAGAATTAACGGTGCATTTGATGCATATTTGTTTATTCGATTCAAGCTTTTATTCTCTAACATCACTATTCTATCATACATTCTGGAACAGGTTTAGAGAAAATTATTTGACGCAATTTGACTCTAGTAAGTATGAATTTGCTCATATACAATTATTATAAGTGTAATTTCAGTATTTCATGATTACCAAGTCACCTGCTTAATTTATATTGTGCTTTTAGTCAACGATCTACTTTACATTTGATTTAAACACAAAGATTGCGCGACGATTCAAACAATTTATCATGAATTTTAGTTTTAGGTCATGAATTTTGATCGAAATTATTCCATTTTCCTTAGAAAATACAATAAAAAACTAGGAAGTAATTGAATAATACAATCAGAATCCATTTTGCATAATTCCATAATGTGTATCCAAATACCAAAAATATTTGGACTTGGATGGAAACTTACAGATTTATCTTATGCCTGTTGTTTTTTTTTTTCAGCTAAATTTCTTGTATGATTCTTCTTTCTTCTTTTTCTCTTTACATTTTGAAGAAAAGAAAGAAAAACAATGCAAGAAGTTCAGCTAAAAGAAATATAGGCCTCTTTCAATATTGATTGCTTTATTCATTTTTTCTTATTAATAACATATTACTGGCATTATAGGAAAGTAATTAACTTCAGTCTGCATTCGTTTCTTCAACGTTATTAATCGTTCTTACACAATGTCCACAATGTTGCAAAGAATTTTTTTCAATTTTTTGGTTTTTATTGTATTTGATTGACATATATTACTGTAACCATGCCTACACACTGAAATAACATTATTGCTGATTTAATTTGTTTGATTTCTTGAAATATTGTTATACATACGACTTTTCAATCGTGTGTAACTTTAATGTCAGTTTTTTCAACTCACAAGATCAAAATAGAAACTGCACGAACGATTTTTTAACGATTAATTTTGTCCGCCGAATTTTAATGTCTCAATCCGAGATCCGAAACTGTAACGTTTTTTTATATTTTAATACTTATTTTTATTTTTATTTTATTATTATAGTTAATTGTTTGTTAGGCGATTTAGTGTTAAGTAATGTTTAAATTAATTTTATTGAAAATGACTGATTATATGTTTTATTGTTGAATGAAAATTCTTTTTGACTCTTTAATCGCCCTTGACATCATTTTGTTTATTTTTATATAACGAGTCCATATCTTTTTTTTTATTAATTTATTAATTAACTTCTACAATCCAGACGTTTTCTTGCAGATATAATTGCAGTGCAAGATTGACTAGCAATCTTAACCCAGTCATCAAATTATCCATTTTTTTTAGCCTAATAAAGCAAAAGAAATCGCTATGGAAAAGAATAAACTTTCATTTAAGTTAGATGAGCCTGTTACTACGGCTCTAAATGTAAATCCACTGACTGATGTCAATAAGGAAGACAGCCTGTCTTTTGTAGTGCTTGGTCAAGATTCATTGGAGGCTCAAGCTTCCTTATTAGCTTCGTATACTGATCTTCAACAGAAAAGCATGTTAATCGTATGTATATCATAATTCTACTTTACCCCAAGCTTTACCATTTACTTTAAGATAAAAAATAAATGTCTTTTTTCTTATAGGATTATGAGTCAATAGTGTCATCGATGACCACAACTGAGATACAACACAAATTGATAGAAGTGTGGCAAGAAAATGTGAAATTGAATGAAACTTTAAGGAAGAATAACATATCTATGAAGCAACAGTTCGATACCCTGACAGAGTTGATGAAGGAATCAAAAAAAGTTCGTCAGGTTCACAAGCAAAAGTTTGCAGAAACTCTAAACTCCATGAATCATTTGCAAAAGGAAAATACAGAATTGAAATCTAATTTCTGGTCTTTTGAATACCTCCAAGATATTCAGTATGAGGTATATATACACAGAAAAATATATGCTCATAAATAATAATCACTTTTTTAAGTATTTCAGAAGTTCATATATTCGCAAATCTATTGTAAGATAGACCGACGATCGTTCGGCGCGCAAGTTGGGGGGGGGGGGGGTGGGAGGGGAATTTACATATATTACTTTAAAATAAATATTGCGAAGAATATTATTACGTCGACCCGCCATCAGAGGTCTATAGATATTCGCTAAAAATTCTCGTAAGTGCTTTGATAAGCGTATATCTGTATATATAGAATCTCGATTTAATAACTTAAACAGGCGTCTAAGGTAGGCTTCCACTACAATGCCTTACTGATGAGTCCAGTAGTGGAAGTTGGGACGAAACGCCATAATTACGTAATATTCTTCGCAATATATTGTATATTAGATTAATTTAAAAGATTTTTAAACGAAATTATTGGCTCATTGCCCTTATCTCTTCATGTTAGTTGTTTAATACATATGGAGCTTTATCACAAACATTTTAATAAATCTATTTAAAATATGTTTTAAATCCTAGTAAGTTTAATACTAAGATCAATTTTAGTATTTTTTAAAAGATAAGAAATTCTTCAATTATACCAGAAGCTTTGCGGGTTATCGCCGTGTCTTTCTTCATTATTAATGCCAACATTTCGTGAACCATGCCGTTCACTTCATCAGGGCGAGGGGTGCGCTGATACCGAGTCACTACTCTGGGGGACTCCTTTATGTAGACGCTGTTGGGAGGGGAGGGGATGTATGTTGAGGGATGGGGGAAGTAGTACTTCTTTGGCCTGTCGAGAGAGTTTAATAATGAAGAAAGACACGGCGATAACCCGCAAACCTTCTGGTATAATTGAAGAAAATACCCGTGAAAACTTTAAAAGCGTAAAACAAATTCTTGTTTTAAATAATAATGAGTGTAAAATTAATTTATATTTAAATTAATTAAAATTGAGATTAAAATAGTGTTTTAAAATTTGTAATTATATTTGCAAGTATATTTCAAGATTATCAAAAAAATATTCTTGGTACAAATAGCCATTACTTGAAAGGAAGAAAGAGTAAATTGAATAATTATTTTTCTTAGCAATAGAATAACATTTTCTATGTATAGAGATATAATATGTATTGTACATTCTATCATCCATTTAATTTTTTTTTAGATTGTTAAAGTTTTTTCTGATGATACCATTGTTGTTCCTTCCAAGCCTGAGAAACTTGACGCAAATGAAATATGTGAATTTGCAGCTATAATATCAAAAATAGCAGATAAACGTCTTAAAAAATTCATAAAATTTGTATTATCGAAGAAATTTGATATTAAAGAAGAATTACAAAACTTGCAGCAATTAGAAATGGAAAAAGAATTACAGTCTGCAATGATAGATGACAGCATAAATTACAAACTTTACGATGAAGAGATTAGAGAAAATTCGAAATGTTTGGAGGTAAAAAATCAGGAAATTGTTTGCTTAAAAGAATCCATTCCTCTACATGAACAGAAGTTGCAATGTGTATGTTTCTTTAAAAAATTGTCTAAATATCTTAACAATTAAATTTAGAAATAGAATCAAATTATCTTTTAAATTTTGCAGGTTCTTACTCCTGTTCAACAAGATTTATTAGGAACATCCAATTTAAATCATCAAAAATTCGTAGAAAATATAAAGCAGTATAATGATATGCTGCAAGAGTTAACCAAATGTTTTATAGGACAAGTAGTACGTTTTGTTACCATAGAAAAAGATTTAAAGGAAATTACGGATATACTTAGACTTGACGACAATTCTAAAATGCAATATAAAGAGAAATTATGTCAATATTACAAAGAATTAACTGATGAACAAATGAAAATCATTATTGATAGGCAGACGCTAATAAAATCACAAAACCAATTCCAAAAGATATTGTCTGATCACAATTCTGTTCTACATGAATTGCAAATAATGCTCGATAAAAACGTGAAACTAAACATTTTAGAGGATAATAGCTTTTGCAAGAATTCACAAACGTTAGAGCAACTGGAACACGACAAGCAATCATTAGAACAAGAAAAAAATATTTTCGATCAAGAGAAGAACACTTTCGATCAAGAGAAAGAAAAAAAATCCTTTGAAATTCAAAAAAAGAGCTTGGACATGGAACGTACATCATTGCAAGACGAGAGAAAACTTTTAGAACAAGAAAAAATCGCTTTAAATGAAAAAAAAATGTCACTTGATCATCAGAGTCAGTTATATAAAAATTGCGAAAGTGATCTTCACAATGAAAAAAAAACGAAAACAAGATTGCAAGCCCGTATTAAACAATTATCGGATAAGACAAGTAGCTTGCAACAGCAAATTGAAGAAAAAGAAAAAAAATTTGAAAAGATGCTACAATTGCTTGAACAATGCGTGAGTGAAGTTTTCTTAATATAAACTAACACGTTGTTAAAATAATGTATGGGTAGTATGAAGAATATATGCATTGATATCCTCGTGATATTTCTTTATTTGATTGCGATTGCGATCTTGTACATACAATGAGAAGCTCTCTACTACTATAACGACGTTAATCGACATCTGGAGAGTTCTTTACTCATATACGTATGCGCGAATCTCTCTGCTTACCTAGGCTGGGTCCACAACCTTGCTTTAAGAAGCCCTAAGCCATAAAACCGTAAGAAATTGATCAATCATAATTGAATACGAGGTATTCTCTTAAAGCGAGGTTGTGGACCCAGCCTAAGTAGCGCACTACCAACTAAAATACAATCTCAAGTCGCGCACTATTTAAACATAAAATTCAACACAACAAGATCAGTATAGAGTTGTAAGAATTAAAGTAGATAAATTAAATTTGCGATACATGTTTATATTAAGTTAACTAACTTAATATAAACTTAATATACTATAACATTACACAATTTAATTTAAAATATTTGTGTAAATTTTATATCAATTCTGTCATTATCTTAAATTTGATTATTTTTATTATACTGGTTTTTTTTTAGGCGGAAGAGAAAATTGCATTACGATCGCAATCATTGATTGACAAAGAAGCTTTTCGAAATTTAGAAAAAATGAATGAAGCATTGTTGGAAGAAAAGTGTAAATTGGATAAGGAATTGCTGAAGCAAATAGACTTTAACAAACAGTTACAATCCCGTTACAAAACACCTAACAACTCTACTGATATGTCAGAACAAATGTTTAAGAAATGTTTAAGAAATGTAAGTATTTTTTAAAATTCATTACACCGTGACGTTTTTATCTAAAAATAAAAATGACCGTTTCCTATTTTTTATTACTATTAGAGCAGTGACAAATACAACGGGCATACAAAAGGCGGCAACGCCACTGTAAGAAAGAAGTGGTTGAGCAATCGAAATATCTTTCGCTTATTCTCAATGAAATAATGAATAGTTTATTCAAATGTTCAAATTCCTTAGGAATTGGTATACACGCAACATATAAATACAATTTTATTTCTATCGTACCGTTTCTTTGTAAATCTATAACTGTATGCAACGCTTTTGGTATATCTTATGTATAGTTGGCATTGCTAAGTTGGTTGCTTTTATCCTTGATTATTCTCTTTCGTTATCTTTTCATTCTTTCTGTCCTTTCAATAATACAATTGCCTTCTTTTACTAGATTATTGCAAGCTACATGTATCTTACAATATTGCTCAAAGTAATAGTATACTATTATATGTATGATTTAGTAGATATACCAAGTTTAAAAATCTTTATAAATTTTTTTCTCAAATTTTTGGTATGATTATAGTAAAAATATATTTTTATATTGAATCTACTCATATAAATGTAGTATTTTAATTTTTTTTATTAAAATATATTTTACACAATTCTTTACAAAAATTCTTTGATAATTTAGAATTCAAGTTTATTAATGCCTTTTTTTAATTGGCATTTTGCACTGACATTGGAGATAAATTACAGAATGTAAAGAAATAAAATATTGCACATATGCATTTTAATATGATAACGAAAACAAGGATTTTAATACGTTTATCTTAATTTTCTTATTATATCAGTATTATTCAATTGTTTAATTATATACGATTATTTTATTTTATTGCTTATAAGATATACGAAATGGCATACATTGGATACCATACTACACCAATAAAATCTACAGAAATTGCTCGACATTTGTCACAGCGCTATACACTTTCTTTTTTTCTGTCTTATTTAAAGAATCAATTCAATGCATCTTATTGTGCAATGTAATATCGCACACAATAAAATATTGGACATAACACTATATGTTATGAGTTTATTTTTATTGAATGTAACTGAAAAAAAAATACATTAGACTGAAAATAATTGTGTTACATGTAAATCTAAACTAACATATATTAACTTGTGATTACAGTACAACTGTACATGTAGTCGAAATAAAATGCTGTCCAAAATACTGTAAGAAGTTCATATCACCGCATTCAAAGACTTAAAAAATGCTTAAAAGATTAAGAAATCATATAAGAATATGTAAGTATACTCTTATATAAGAAGAGTGATATCATATGTACTGATACCTCTTATATTAAAATATTCATATAATTTTTATTAATATAATAATTTTACGTAGTAAACGCATAATAACTCGGATAATGTTAAAAATGCGTTTTAATTCTAGTTTTAATAAAACTAGGATTTAACTGATAAGACTGAATAACACGTTATACATATGAAAATTTTATTTTCTTAAATAGTTATTTGTAATTAGAATTAATATAAGAATGTGTAATTTGAAAATGTACTGAGATATTTTTCGATGTTTCTCACTTGACATTAGTTATCTCTATTTTAATATTTCATTATAATACTTTGGAAGTACCAAATACAAGTTTTCTAAACAAAAAAACTATTACAACAACGAATGTAATTAAATTCTAAATTTTACACCAAGATATGAATTTTATCTATGTACATCACACACGCAGTATCTGCAACTGTTAGTTACCTCATATGACAGTATTGTAAGAAGGTAAGAAATAGTTTTAAAGAAAACGTGCTCTTGATGAAAATGAAACTATTCTTCCTAAGCATCTATAACATATCGTATTTGCACATAACTCTAGGCTAGATGTAGGTAATGATGGATATATGTACACCAAGCACGTCTCGCTCGAATACGTCTATACTGGATCTACTACAAATACACTTAAGAGAAAATATCCTCGTCTCTAGTTCTCATTTATTTCCACCACCTTCGGAACGCGTTCACGCCTATGCGATAACAAAAACGAAGCTAGGTGATGCGACTCGGACCATGGTCAGTGTAGCTCCGCTTCAAGTTCCCCCTCATAGCGAGGAGGAAGGGGTAGAAGAAAAAGAGGTGATGCTTGACCTTGGCTGGAGGAGCTGCGGTCAACGATTCTTTCCCGCGTGCTGGTCAGAGAAGATGCATGTCTTTTTGCGCTATACAATCATCGCATGCACTCGCCATCCCTCCACCTTTTCACAAATCGGTTGGGACCGATCGCGGAGGGACACACATCACGACGACGACGAGCCTGCTCAAGGTAGGCCGGTCGCATATCCTTAAAAATTCTTTACAGCCGACGAGCGAACACCCATTTGATGCACTCGTGGGGATATCCCGTCGAGTTCGTGATTTTCGCAAATGGACGGAATGCGATCGAGTACTTTCCCGGATCCAACTAGTAGTTATGGGAGTAATGACTGCATGAAAATGAATTAACTAAAAAGAGAAAAACACAAATCATAAACAAGTATTGATTTTTGTACAATTAAAAAAATTTTGAGAAACATCGCTTACTTGCGACAATTAAAAAATTGTCATTTTTTAAATGCTTGCAAAAAAGAAGGGAAAGAAAAAAGAACAATTTAAAAGAATATATTTGTATTTATCTATAATTAGTTATTACACAAAAATTACGTTTTAAAATTCATATTATAAAATTTTAATATTTAAAAAAATTTTATATTTAATATTTAAAAAATTTAATTTTAAAATATTTAAACTCTTATTTACTACAAAAAAAATTTTTTTTTAAGTACTACTGCTACTTATGACAATTAAACGATTTAAACCTAGGATCTATAATTTATTAATTGAACTTTATATCAAAACTAAATGTTTCTTGCAAAATATATAACAAAAATACAAGCTGTTGTTATTTTATTTTCAAAGCTTTAACAATTCAATTTTATTTCAAAATTTCTGATAATTTATCTTACAAAAATATAGAGATTGTTGCAGAAACAAATATACAGCTCTGAATTAAATACTAATTGCAGAGACAAATGATTAATACGAGAAATCACCTCTTAATGTATGACTGATGATTTAATAAGTAGACGTTGATGATCAGCAATGCACTCCTGTCTCTCAGGACACCTTCTAATTTACATTCCTTCGGTGATGGAAAGGAGCAGCACGCGTTCGTTAATTAAAGTGACGAGCGGAAATGCGGGCGAGACGGCAACGTCTTTTAATGGCGCAGCATCCAGGGAATCGATAATATCTCTCGTAGTTGCAAGATACATATGCATAGAATTTTTTCCTTATAAGACCGGTTGATCAAGGTTCAATTAAATCCCCCTTCGAATTAATCTTATTATTAGCATATGAGAAAAATAAAATATAAAGTATTGATAAGAATTTTTTTAATCATAGAAGTTTTTTAAAGCCCTTTAAGATATCGATGTGTGACACAAAGCAAAAAGCTTTTACTAGTATCTACAGATTTTCTTTCACAGAATGCGTTTGAATTCTTTTTTGAGATAATGGATGTTTTCTTAGTATAAGACTCAAATGACACAACAATAGTGCATTATTTAATTTTTGTTCAATATTGGCAAACAATAAGGTGTTATTGAAAAGCACCCAATTAAAAAATTTAAATATCTCTTCTCTCTCTTCTATGATTGATGTAAAAATTATTTACGTTGGAACAAATATACTTTCTATTAGTACAAGAATTATGAAAAACACATGATGAAAAATATTTTTTGACTTATCTGTTGCATACTAGCTTACATCTAAATATATGAATATTTAATATGCGAATAATTTGTTTAATCTGTCATCACGATGCCTTAATTGTTCTCAAGTGCAAAGCACACAGTAAGATAATTTAAAAAATCGTACGACACGAACGTGTCAAATCAAAATGTTCTTGAAATGTTTGCCGTTTGCATTACGTACAATTCTCTTTACACAACGTATAAGAACTTCAACTCGGTTATATGCATAAATCTATGTCCTTTTTAACAATTCCGCATACTCTACTTAAAACGTGACTGTGTCAAATGCTCGATCATTCAGCTTGTTTCGATTGAATTTTCAGTTTAATATACTCAGCCGGTTATGATAAAAATGTAAATGTAACAGACACGTTTATAGCTTCGTAAGAAAAAGTGCATAACATTAACGTCACAACAATGCCGTTATTTATATTTAACGATCGATTTTTCATAAATCTTTTTTTAAAAGATATAGAAAAACAACAGGACCGGCAGAAGTTTGACCTTCATTTAAATAAAGCGTAAAAATGTCGCGCAACTTCTAGGTCAGGGGCATTATCAAATTAACATCTATTATGCCGAAAATGATCGTGAAACTCAAGTTCTATCACATATTTAGATTACACATAAAGTATATTATCCTCAATTTTTGAAATATTAATTTCAACATCAATTTCTTTGATATTCTGTACATTTGTTGTGTAAATATTTTCTCAATATTAATGTAAACATTTTGATTGTTAATGTTAAAAAATAATTGTAAAAATTAATAATTAGATCATATGTGTTATATTTAATTAATAATTATTATAAATATATACAAATGTTTTATCAATTAAGGTGTGTTAGATATGTTTGACGTTGACCGAATGATAATGACGATGATTAATCACGTTACTCAATGACTCAGCGTTTTTAATATAAATCGCGGTCTGTCACTTTTTTACTCCCCAAGCATTTTCTGCATTTATGAACGGTGTATAAAATTCCAAGAATTATGGTCTTTAGATCGTTGGTCATTATCATCCCCCTAACGTAAGTGACTCTCCGAAAAGACCTGACAAAATACAGTTGTAATTCTGCATCCAAAGTGCCTTCCTAGAAGGCTCTTTTCTCTGTTATATGAAGCGAAACCGAGAAGTATCATTAGACCTAATTAGACTCATGCTAATTAAATAATGTGTGTGAATATGATTCGTTTGTCTCACGTAAACTCGATACGAATGATTAATTATTTCTTTGTGCGAATAATACGTAATTGCGCCATCGAAAATCGCGATAAAATATCTTCCAAAAGTAATATGTGCGTGTCTATTTAAATATATGCATTCTCGCTTATGAGAAACTGAAAGCACAATGGGACATTTAATAAACAAACACCAATAATTAAAATAGCGTGACTCTTTTACGTCAGGACGCATTCAATATTCACTTCTGGGAGCCAACGAAAAAAAAATTAAATATTGAACGTGTTAGGAACGTATCGCAAAAAAATGCAAAAACAAAATTAATAATTTGGTTTACGTTTATGATGATTTTATGCAGCGAAATGACCATATTTTATTGCAATTTTAAAGAGAGGTAAATCATTTCAATTAATATACTTTAATTTCCAATGTTTTAAATTATTTTTTTATGAAGTAAGAATGTATCGTTCTTTTTGTCAATCTCCAGTGAAAGAGGATGCTAAAGTGACGACTGAACTTAATCAATGATAAATTCTTAATTCTAAAGTAAAACATTACAGAAATTAAATAAAATATTACATATCCATTAAGTAAAACATCACGTACTTTCCTTGCAAGGTTACGTACACCATTACACAGATCAATTTCCACTTGCTTCTCTTATAAGTTGATTCAAAATCATAATTTGAAGGTCTCATATTATATTCTTATACATTATTCAAATATAAGAAACTACTTTTTGTGTATAAATATATACCTATACTTAGAATCGTTTATATATCATTTGAAGAAGTCCTACAAAGGAAACTGTAATTTACAATTTTTTATATAGACTTGTAGTTTCCCCACAGTTATTTGCGTGCTATCCTTTCATTCTTTTTTTTTTAAATATTTTATATAAAAGAAATACGAAAAAATAGAAAAATACAAAGTACACATTTCATCGGGTTTATTTACAATAAACAATACCAGCATTCCCTTAAGAAACTTTTCGATGTTTTAATGGTACCTCCGCCTCAGGAAAAAATAAAGACATTATAAAATCACAACAAGACAGGGGAATATCTGCGAAAATTATCGGCTTGATGAAATCACGAGATCGGATTATGCTGCCTCGGATTTTACGAGGATCACGTCCTCGGCGCCAGAAGCGGCACAGCGCGCATCACGGAATCTTAGAATCCCACGAAAACACTTGGCATTGGCATTCCCATTTGCGGCTCTTTGTGCCGCAACTGGTACACTCCTCGTTCCGAGAGCACGGCATCGTGTTTTCTTTCTCACTCGTTCATTCGCTCTCTCGCACGTATGAAACCGCAGGTAGCCGACAACAAGCTGACAACAAGCGTGCGGATACTTGTGCACGTGTTGGTGCGTGCGTACCCCTACGTCAGGAAAACGCGCCGGGTTGGGCCCGCGTATATAAGGCCCGCTGCACTCGAAATGGAATCAGTCTCCGATATGTTGCGTCCATTGCATTTCGTAAGTGGTCCGCATGGCTCCTTTGCATCTTTGACGTCGATCCTATTGTCTTGAAGACACTTCTCCTTTATTCTCTCGATTTTTTGCTTCCGCGTCGCGTGTGTATTATACGTTCCTTCTCGATGGCACGAAGTGTCAATCACGAGCACTAATAACTCTGATTAATTAGCATAATTCGCATCCCCAAGACCGATCACATATCGCTCCAAGTGAACTATCTTCGAATAGTCAGGATTATATTATAGACGGAATGAACGATTTTACTGAAGAATCTAAAGATAGACATAGTAAAATAATTTTTTTGGACCGTAAAAATAATTACGTGGAAAACTCAAGTATAAACAATGCTGCTAAAAGTTTGATATTCTAACAATTAATCAACTTTTAAGCATTCTACATAATTATTTTGATAATCTAACAAAATTATTTTTAAATCTATAGCTAAATTTTTAGCTTTAGCATTCGCGTTTTTTCAGTGTATAATATATCATATCTCTCTCTCTCTCTTAATAATCGAATATAAACATAAATAAAAATCAAAGATTAATTTGAATGTAAGAAGAGCGAATAAGAAAAAGATTCATTTTTTACTTTTCTCTTAAATTGCTTATGTTCTAATCTTTATTTTTACAAAAAAAATGTATAATTTTAGTGAGAATAGAAAATTTAAATTAAATAATCAGATTATTATCAAAATGTATTAGTAAAAATCGTTACTATATTTTATTATTTATTAGTATTAGAAATCTTACGATATTAGAAATTTTTTCAGAAAAAGATGTAAAAAGAGATAAAATTTATTCAAACACATATAAATATACGTCATGGATCACCTTTATTGCGTATCCAGCAGAGAAAGAAAGAAACCTCCAAATAAATCTCCAATCGATCGAAAATTTTCTAAGTGCATTCCTATAGGAGAACTCGTAAAATATTGCATAAAGTAGTGCAACTGCTTCCCAAAGAGTTTCTCGCGATGTAATATCTCCAATACGAAATTCCAGCTCGAAATATCTAAGAGACACGATTTATAATGCGAATATCGCAAATCAGGGGAAGATGATAATAAGGAATCACACCGCATTGATTCTAGGTGCTCCTCTTCGCGGCGTTCGCCGTCGTCGCGTTCGCCGCCGCTGCGGAAAATGAAGCTCCAGCAAATGTCCAGAGTGAAGTCGAACCGCAACCAGAAACGAACGATTTAGAAGCAGACGCTTCATACTGGGGGTAAGTTACGAATCATTAATTTCTACCTCATTTATCCGCAGGAGAATCCGTGAATCTAAAATCATCCTTAGACAATTTGTAATCACAAAATAGCGATTATAATGAATATAACTATATCAAAAGAACGATTTTGCTGAAGCAAAATTAACTAAGATACAGATCCGTAAATAATTTTGTTAAATTATCGTAATCATAAAATAGGACTGATTGTTAAAATATCACAACTTTTCACAGCCTTACTTTTATTATGCTTGTGTGTCTTAGATCCAAAATTATTTTCAGCAAAATGGTTCTTTCTGTGTACCTTTTAAATGTACCCCGCCGTTCGTTACAGTAGCCGAAGACTTACATGTCATTCACGCAAAATCGACAATTGATTCGCGTGACGAGTATCTTAAAATTATTAGATGAAAGATTAAACTGTCGTATGATAAAAGCGGTAAACGTGCACATTGAAGACAAGTTGGGATTAGCACGATAATAATCTTTCGACGCGACCTTAAGACTTACCTATAATATCTTCATTATTTAGAGTTGGAACACGTCGTCGGAACTAATCGTAACGACAAACATCGAACAGCGATCACGTATTCCATCGTAATGCTTACTCAATCGCGATTACTTATACACTTTACTCATACTTGGTATGCGCTTTGCTTGCTTACGATTCATTCGTAAAGATGACAGTCGCGTAAACAAGGGACACATGGAAAAAATATTACACTTTTGTGGTGCAGTAATTCTTCATTTACATTCATAACCGCATTCCTCTCCTACAATAACTGCGCATGAATCACATGCTATATGTCCCTCGTAATCCTGCATGCATACTCTAACTAATCGCGTGCATAAATGACGCATTTCGATGCGCAATTAACACTAAAATGAACTGTGATAATCAATTTGCAATAATTTAACAGACCATTTACATCTCATTCATTTATTGTAAGTATGATGTTTCGAAATGTCAAAACTTACACGAAGGAAAAAAATTATTCATTTCGCATTACATTAATTTAGTTCGTCTTTGTTCTTTTCAATAAAGAATGTATTTAAGTCAAACGTATTATTGACTTTAACTAAATCAATTTAGTCAAATGAACAATTTTTTTCTCAGTATACCACCACAAAAAAATCTATACAGTACAATAGCTAAAATAATATTGTGTATCAAAATAAAGTTTATTGAGATAATAAAAAGTCTAATTTCTCTCTATGGATTTTTAATTTATTATAATATAAATAATCAATAATTCTTAAGTATATATAACGTAAGTGTACAATTTTGAAGTAACTATCAAAACATTAAAAATGCTTGCTAATACGGAAGAATTTTTAACTTTACGTGCAGTGTGCTTCAATTTGTTTGCATTTGTAAAATCTTCAATGTTCCTCTTCACGTTTCCAGTACTTTGAATAATAATTTAGTGACAATAATAGCAGAAGTATAGAATGCAAAATGACGTTCGTGGCTATTTTGTAAAGATTGTATGCATATAAACCACAATTTGTTTCTTCTAAAGTTGACTAGGAATCAATGAATTTTTCCTTTTCAGCATTAAATCCTAATATTTGATATCAAACCTTCACCAAAGAATCGTTAATTAAAAATTGATTTTGTAACTTAAGTCGTTCATCAAAAAGAGCGGTGATCTTCGAATATTTTAAATATACTATATAATATATATAATATATAAGACTTTTACAAAATGTGGTTTGAATCAACAAAAAATTTCAATTAAAAAAGCATAAAAAACCACGCACAAGTTCTAGTTTGTAATAACTTATTAAAGTCATTAATTTATTGTCAAAAAACATAAATCTATAAACGTTTCGATCAACACAAAGTGACCATCTTCAGTATAAGATTAAACTACTATAACATGAAATCAAACGC